CGGGGGGTGTGGGAAGAAATTTTCTCTTAAAATGCCCCCCAAGTGAACAGTTATTAGCATTGTTTGGAATGTCACTAAGGAGAGGGCAGCCATCATTCCAGTTATAAAAAGTTCCTTTTTTTATTTGTGCGTGGAAAGATAATCTTCCACATCTTACCCCTATCAGTTGTGTAAGAAAGTGATGCTGTCCACAAAATATGTGTCACGACACCATATTGTAATGCATTTCCTGTAGCTAGAGTCTTCGTTTTTCTGTCTGTCCAGGTCGCGCTGTGTATCTTGCGTCCACGTCAGCCCTGTTGCCGGATGTGTGCCGTTGGTCAACGCCGGCACAGTGGGGCAGTACTGTCACTTGGGGAGACGCGCCCAGTCTAGAGGACGTTCACACACACACACACACACACACACGCTGTCTCTCTCTCTCTCACACACACACACCCTGTCTCTCTCTCACACACACACACACACACACACACACACACACACACACACACACACACACACACACCCTGTCTCTCTCTCTCTCACACACACACACACACACACACACACACACACACCCTGTCTTTCTCTCTCTCACACACACACACCCTGTCTCTCTCTCTCACACACACACACACAGCCTGTCTTTCTCTCTCTCACACACACACACACACAGCCTGCATCACAGGATTATAGTTGCCAGTGTACGTGCTCTGGAATAAATAACTAGATCACAAATTCCAAAAACCTTAAATAAATAATGATCCATTGATTTTCTAGTATTCTTTGTTTAACAGGTGCGATACAGCATTGCCTGTTAGCTCCCTACCAGCTATTTATCTGTCTGTTTTGATGTGTTGGTCATAATGCAGAATGTGGGCATTTCATTGGTTTGGGACCGACCTTGTGGCTTTTACTGTTAAGTCGTCTTAACCAAGACTGAGAATGAAAACTCAAAGATTTTAAACTCTTTCCATACATTTCTTTATTTACATCCCTCCATCTTGCTCTTCCATTAATTCAATGTGTCACACCACGTTTTACAGGAACGGATCATCACCAGAGGACGTTTCGACCTCAGTTTTGAGGAATGGAAACGAGAGCGAGCATGTCTCTTCATTTCATAGGAAGTGACTCCTTGGCACTTTACACTGAAACACAGACGGGTTTTAATCAGTGGTGTAGAGATTTTCATGCTGTCTCAAAATTTACAAGAATTCAAATTGTCTCCTGCTGCAGATAAAATCAGTTTCTGGAAATGTGGTTTGATACTTTAACACACAAAACTGCTTACGAATCTAAAGATGGTATGTGGTCAGATGTCCAGATAACACGTCATAATTCCAGTAAAACACTTAACGCCACGTAAACTTGTTCATTAGACTGTTCTGTTGCCCTGCAACTTGCCATTTTTGTGAATAATTTAATTTAAAGCACCTGTCAATTTAATATGGCTGCCTCGGATGAAAAAGGCCCCTTTGTCATTACATGGACTTTGACGTTAGCTACAAACAATAAGGGCATCAAAATCCTGTGTGTTTGTCACAATAAAATGTAATAGAATTATAAAGCGCTACCACAGTAGATTTGGCAGCGACACGTCATGGACAAATTATCACTCACAGCACTATAGAAAGCGCAGGTCGGGGTTCCCAAAACATCCACTGCTAATGACACTAGGCTATAGTTAGTACTG